ATAACACTCCGACTGCATTTTTCCAACATAAGAGTCATGGAATATTTTTGAATGGAGCATTATACTCTCTGAAAAAATTTTATTGTACATATATAGGAAAAGGATGGTAGTATCGAAGAAAAGTGTTTCGACTTAAAAACTTTTTCAGAGTCATGAAAGCTCTAGCTGTTGCAAGGTGTTGTGTTCGGAGTACAAAGGCGCAAAAAAAATTCAAAAGTGGAATTCTAACTCTGGCTTTCCCTAAAAGCATGACTACTTTTACATGTTCTCCGTAAATTTAATGGATACAGAGTTTAAAATGGCCAGAAGCATTTAAGAAGAGTTTTCAATTGTTCTTAGAGGGCCAGACGGCATTGTACCAAACCAATTGCAAAACACTTTGGAGGCTTCGAAGCCGGCTCCAATCTTCACTAGTTGCGCTGTGCGAGGGCAGGGAATGGCGTTTGTTGCGAAGACTGGCGAAAGCCCCCCAGGCATTTCAGGATATCTTCGAGATTGCTTAAAACCCTCCGAAAGAGTTGTTGATCTACATATGAAAAACATCAAAGTTAGGTCGGCCGAGAGCGCCTTGCCCAAAATTATGAAATCGATAGAGGAAGCCTTCATCACGTAAAGACCACACTGTGAGTGCGGCAGAAATGTCGCGATGGAGTTCCATCCAGCGTAGGATACACACCCCCTTGGAGTAGGGTCACAAAGGGGACTCTGTAAAAGCCTGACTATGCAACTTAACTTAACGGAACGTAGAACTTAGAGAATCAAAATGAAACAGATTTCGACGTGGCATTAAGTTACTTCGCGTTCGCTTAGCACTTTCAGACAGTCTTAAGGCTGAGCTTGATTCTATGTGTATGAAAAGTAGTAGTGAAAGCCAAGCATTGAGAAAATAGTGGAGAAAACATCAGGTGCCCTCTACCGCTGCAGGGATAATATTACCAATTTCTCTCTCCGGGCCTCTCGTAGCGCGGGTTCCCTCTTTGGAATTACTGAGTACTGAGGGTGTCTCCAACATTGGAAATTAGTGTTTTCTTTAACATAAATTCGATCGACATCATAGGTCAGGCTGCTGAAGCAGGCGCTGAGGTTAGACTTGAGGCTTTGGGTGCTCAAATGACCAAAGTATTCGAAAAAGAAAAATATCGCCTTGTTACAGCTACGTTTGGTCTCAAATGGCTTGGATAAGCCGTGTAGGTTTTTCGCGAATACCAAATTTAGACATATCGTCGTAGAGGCAGCTTGCTCCCCAGAGATGATATGCATAGCGTGGAAGTTTTCAAAAGAAACATGAAGTTGGTACATACGACAAGGCTACCTGGAGTACCTCCATTATGGCACACCACAGTGGTAGACTCCTGAGGGCATTGGAGCAGGCGTATTTTGCCCCAGACGGAAGCTTTCGTTCCTCCTAGGTGTCTTTCCAAGCAGAAATCTATGACAAAAGTCTGTATGTTAAGACCAACCTTTGCAGGAATTATCGTAGTGAGAGGTTCCTCATTTTAACTGTTTAACTGATAGTCATGCGTCTCTTAAAGTTCGCTCATCCCTTCAGGTCAAATCCTGTGTAGATAAGCTTATTGTTCTGGCTGAGAATAATGCTATCCAATTGCTATGGGCACCAGGGCACATGCGAGTCGAAGGAAATAAGGAAGCGATTCTGGTAGTCAGAAATGCTGCTGTCTCGACCCCGACAAAAAAAGCTCTCATAAAGGAAAATGCCAAACGCAGGGAACGGCAATGGCATAACAACATGCCATCTAATTCTGGCATTAATTCTGAAATTTACCTGGGGCTAGCTGGGCTGTTGGCATGAGTTGCGGGCACGATAGATCTACTGTTCGCAGGCTTTGTCTATCTATCTATGTACCCAGCAAACACAGTCTCTAACGTTAGAGAAATTTGGATTTCTACATTAGATAACTAGGGTAATTCTCTAATCGTTCTCGAGCCGATGACAAAATTAGAGAATTACATTAGAATTCGATTCGAGAACGATTAGAGAAACAGCGCGAATTCAAATAAATGTAAATAAACAATATTCCAAATGAATTACTCATAAATTATTTTTAAGTTCAAACAATTCATTATTATTTTATTGCAAATACATTTAATACAAATTTTACAA